GTAATAGGCTGCTACTACTACTACTAAAATTATTAAAACCTTATTTTTAAGGAATAATCATACAATATTTCTTCAATGTTTTAATTGTAATATTAAATTACCTTTATTTTCCAAAAAAATTAAATTTGTTTAATTTTCATTACTTAAAAGATAGATTAAATGAATATTTTATGCCTTAAAAAATGTAAATACACAACACAGAATTTCTGAGCAAAAAATCAAATGAAACAGATTTTTTGTTTTTATGCTTTCAAATAATTAGACATGCTAAATCAGAATTTGGTAAAAATAAAACAAGTTTGGAAAAAATAAAACATTTCATAGGGCCCTAAACATGTAATTTTTGTTAAACTTGTAATAAATTGATGTTAAATTGTTTAAGTTTCATGATTTTAATTAATTAGACATGCTTTTTGATTAGTAAAATTTCATTTAACCATTAAAAAGGAGTAAAAAAAAAACGACCACTTATTAAGAGTGTGTTAAATAACAACAAATGTAATCTAAATGTAAAAATAATAGTTAAAGAAATAATAATGCACAATTAAATACAGAATATCGGTTGATATAAATAACTAATATGGTACATGTGTATCATGCATCTCTAAACACCTATATCAAGCAGTATATTGATGTCCTATTTATGCATTGAATTGTGAAGTGCTTAGAGTCTGGTAGTCGTGTAGTGGAGCTGGACACTCAGGCCTGCAGATGCATCAGAAGTATCATGGAAAACACAAATCCATCAATCCATCAAACAAGATTAATGAGAGTGCATTTTTATAGCATCTCCATTGTTGCAGCTAAAATCCATGAACCAAAATAACCCACTAAAGGTATTAACACACATGTATAAAAAAAAAAAAAATCAGAACTGCCACTGTTTATCTGTCTTGCAGGCAAAATCCCTCACCCTTAAACAATAGGCTCCGAGTCACCAAAGAAGCACATTGTTTCATTCGCATGATACTCAGTGACTAATCTGTTATGTGGAGTGGCACAAAGGCATGACGGGGTTGAGTATAAAGATTGCCATCTTTACATTGAGGAGCAATCTTATCTGATATCAACTTCCTTTGAGCTGCTTTGAAAAATGGGAGCTGTGGAGTGAGATAGGGCTGCTAATCGACATGCTCATCTCATCGCCACAATCCTCTTATCAGCACCCAGGACCTCCACACACTGTAGAGATGGTGCCCAAAGATGTGTAGGTTGAAAAGAGAAGAGGAGCCAAATAATAAAGCTTAAAAAAAAATATCACCACCTGCAGGAATTCTGGGTAATCCATGCATGAAGTGATAGGAATACAACCAGAGATGACAAAACAGAGAAAACAAAACTAACTTTATGTAAACAGGATCTGGATGTGTGGACTGGTGTGTATATAAATAGAACTGTATGTGGGAAAAGAGTGAGTACTTTTACATAGACTTTCAACATTTCATTTCAGATTTTAAATGTACTAAGTCAGAATAAAATCATGTCATGTAACAGATTTACCATGTATGCCTTTGTAGCTTGGCTTTGTCCAGCATGCATATGTTAACCAAACTATAACTGGCCTGAACATAGTGCACATGCGATGAAAAAGGATACATGCTATGTGCATTTCATCCTTCAAATTATTTGATTATGCACTGTGTTATGCATACTTGGATAAAAACTAACTGCAAAAATGATTGTAAATTCAATAAGAAAAAAAGCTATAAAACATGGTTAATGGTAAGTTGCCTTATGGTGAAAAACTGTAATAAACCTGTCAAGGAGATGATGACTAATGTAATTTTACAGTAAAACACTTAAATTTACAGTTTTGGAAGTGAAAAAGAACAATTCATCTTGTGATATACAGTGGAAACGCATAAAACATTCACAGAATTCCCTATGTGACACTTCAATTGATGGTTTTTCGTATCAGTTATGAACATTAGGGTTTTATGTTACATCTAATGTTGCTAAATTGATGTTTATTACATTACTTTAGTGCCATGTGTGTTACCATGATTGCGTTTAGTATTTGTGTTAATGACGCTGTGCACCTTCTATACATTAGTATTTAGTTCACTAGTGTTTTTATGGTGGTTAGTACTTCAGTAGGTTGGTATATTAACATATATCAGTTAATGAAATAAGTTTTTTTAAAGCTGTAAATTTATGTTCAATCCATAAAAAATAAAATTCTGCTACCTTATTTTTTTACAGTAAAATTCTGGCAACCACAGTTGCCGACTATGCAAAAGCCTGCTGTAGCACGAAATTTACTTTGCATGTAAACATACAGACAGTTATAATGACAAAAGATTGAACTTTAAAAACGTATAATAACTCACCTGCGTGATATGCAACAGAACCTCGACTCCATCCCGGATGCCTGTTCTTTGGGTAATCCTGAAAAAAAGAGATGAAGAATAAGTAAAGGTATTCTAACAATTAGACAAGAAAAACAGTCCCATTTTACAGATACCAATGGACGTGATCGATTTACTGTAAATATGAACTTTCCACACTTTCACTTTTAACAATCTCACTCAACACTTTCATATTAATGTGGTGGATAGATGATTGAGTTCTATAGCCACAAAAAATTACAGCATCACAGCTCATTGTTTTAAGTTTAAGTGTTGCTGTCACATAGCTGCAAAGGTTATGTTTTTTCATATACAGATACACCATGCCAGCAGAAACACAAGGAGCGGCCAATATTTTGATAAGATCTAAGAATCTTAAGAGTTAATCAACATGGAAAGATATTTTTGTATTTCTCTGTTGTCATTTGAAGAGACCATTAAAGTAGAGACCTGCACTCCCGCGGGAGGACCGCGGGACCTGCGGGACCCAACGTAACAGGGTGCGGCGCGGGACAACTCTTGATGGGCGAGTGCGGGCGGGAAGAGACTCGTGTGTGTGTGCGGGATGCGGGAGAATAAAATGATTCGCGGGACTCCCGTAAAATAGAAATTATCTAAACATAAAGTGTTTAAAACATAAATTGTTATTTATCTGTTGCACAAACGCAAAAAGAACAACAAATATTAACATTAAAATGATTGACATGTGCAAGCTAGGCATAGTTTCTATTTATAACACGTGTTTAAAAGGTTGCGCAATGTAGCCAATCACAGACTCAGCTGTTGATCTCTGGAACGCAATGGCCAATCAGAGGTGATTAAGTTGGAATCTACTCACCGCAGTGCTGAAATTGCGTGCTCACGAATCCTCTCATTTTAACACACGAAGTGTAGACACTGAAAGATTAATTGTGCATATATTTATTGTGTTATAACAGAGCTTTATGAGATTGTGATTAACTGAGATGTCAGCTTTTAGTGATAATAAAGGAAGCGCGCTGCTCGCATTCTGCCATGCCAAACCATGCACGCAGCAGCACATGCTTGCTTTTCTGTTAAAAATAACAGTGGTTTGTGAATGTGAATGTTGATGCTTAGCCTAAATAACAAATATTTTATCGGGAGTGTTTATGCTGGTATGTTATGGAGCTTAGGAGATATTACAGAACCATTTCATGTAAATTTCTTCGATGTACTGAAAACAAATCTATATAGATTACTTTTATGCGGGCTTTTGCGGGCGGGAGCGGGACAAAACATGAATGTCGCGGGCGGGAGCGGGACCAGATAAGATATATTTCTGCGGGAGTGGGTGGGCGTGGGACAGAATCTTGCGGGAGCGGGATGGATTTTGCAGGTCTCTACATTAAAGCCTGTTTACCCCAAACCAAATCACTTGAATCCTGTATATGTAAAGTACTTTAAAACATTTTTAATGCATTCATCATACACCTTACAATCTTCAAAAAAATTTTTTAAACATTAGCAAAGGCATTAGGTATCAGATTCACATGAATAAATGCTGTAACATGTTTATGTTAATTCAAGTTTACATAAAAAAGTTTAAAATGTATATGTTAGGGATGTGCATCTCATGACTCAGGCCGATACGATACGCATCTCAATGCATAGCCAACGATACGATACATTAAAGATACATACATATGATTCACCCCTATTACGATGCAGTGCGATCCGATTTCGATTCGATTCGATTCAACACAATGCGATTCGATGCAA